GGAGGATAATCATATGGCTGTCCAGGATAGATGGAAAATTGCATACAGTAGGCCTTTTTGTGTATGTTGCAAATTAAAGTGCCTGAGGTGCAACACACCAGCTCTAGCTTTGTGCAGTTTTTCCATCCTTATATTATAAGGTTAATTCAGCAAAGAAGTATTTTTCTTCTTCCAACCTCTACTTATACATGATTTTTTTCCCCCTAATCATTAAATTTAAATAAAAATAATCAAAGTGTAAACTATGCTGGGTTATTAGGGAAATGTTTGGAAAGGCAGCTACTATTTTTTGTTGGGACAGCACATTGGACATAAAGAGGGAAAACAAGCATTAAATGAATCTATTGGTTGGGAAACACAAGGTGCTGTGCATGGTTTCGATCTGCTGTTTGATGAGGCCACAACCGAACAGGCTTGGCTTGTGATGACTTTGGAGTTGAAGTCCTGTGGGAAAACAGCCTGAAATGTCACAGCAGCAACAGCCCTTAGATCCCAGCAGTGTGTGTCTTGTGAGTGTCGTCAATAAATCAAAACATGCTCAATTAAAAAAAATATATACTTTAATTACATGTGGCTGATGATTTGACTGTCTGAAAGGAAGAGTGATGAAAAAGTATACTTCTTCTGTTTAACACAGCATAGGTAGCATGCATGTGAAGCAAATTAAAATCCACCTAGCTGGAAAATGATGATTGTCCTGCTTTTGTTAAAGAAACAGTTTTGGTTTGGTTTGTAGGACCAATGAGTTATACCCATTAAACAAGATGATCCATCAAGAACTCAATGGCACATATCAAAATAAATGAGATAAACAGCTGTATCACCATAAAAAAAACTTGGCAACTTACCCATTTAAGCTTTTTAATTCCATGTTTATTAACTGTTGCCAACAACACATCTTTCAGAAAAGAATTAATTAAACAAAATGTCTTACTGAGAGTTGAGACTAGCTGGTCAGAGGTGCTACTTATCTAAACGACACTTAGAAAGTAAGATGAACTCATTATTCCTATGTGCTGATATATTTCAGAACCTCGTCTTTGCAGAAGAAATAGAGGTCAATCGTTTTAAGATGTGATCTGTGTCCAGAAGTGTTGCCTGCACTGTACAAATTGAAGCTAAAGGGTAAAATAAATTAAATTCTAGACAGTTTAAATGATAAAAATTACACTTTATATATATTTATATATATAAGCTATATATACATATTATTCAGCTTCACAGCATTCAGCCCCCATGAAGCACATAATCTCTGCCTTAAATAGGCAGAGCTGATTAACAGTCCCTCACTTCCATCTAAAAATAACATTTAAATGAAATATATACACACACATTTATCCTTTACGTTTTTATGAACATTTCCTGTTTCAAACTTACACCTAAACACCATAGAAATCCCACAAACAATGTGTGAAACTCCCCTTATATTTCCCATGGTCTCTCCCTATGAATGGTGTCTGGACACCTGGGGAAGCATTTGTCCAAACACCCTGGAGAGGACATAGAAAAGACAGGTCACTTTCTCAGCATCACAACACTTCCTCTGCACTCACTTCTAGCAGATTTACACTAACATTTGCTTAAGTTTCTAAACAGTAATCCTTGCTTGCTGTAAACATCAATTCTCTTTTCCACAGACAACCACCCCAATTGTTAATGGAGAGAAGCTGTGGAGAGCCTGGAACAACAGGCTACATACCAACCATTAAAACACACAATAAATCGTCAAATTTTTTAAAAACCTTGTGCGCAAATTGTTCTTTTTGTGCAAATCTATTCTTAAAGTGCAGTGCTAAATAAAGTGTCCTAGTGCTAACCAAGCTGCTTTTTATTTAAGTGCAAAGGTCCCTTTAAAGTGCTAGTTGTCTACATAAAAAGCTCTTCATTACAATACATATATATATATATATATATATATATATATATATATATATATATATATATATATATATATATATATATATATATATATATATATATATATATATATATATATATATATATATATATAGATATATATATATATATATATATATATAGATATATGTATGCGGAACCTCTTTCCAGAGTCCATGGTGGGGACTGTTGTCCCTGCTGCCCTCTGGAAAGAGGTTCCGCAGCATCCGCTGCAGATCCACCAGGTTCTGAAACAGCTTCTTCCCCACTGCCATCAGACTGTTGAACCTTTGATCCACAAACCGAACTCTGCACCTATTGCACATTATCGGGCTTAAAATGCTGCTGAACTTTAACTTTTAGCTCTTTACGTTCATCTCATTTCTATTCTCAACCGAAGGAAATAACGCATTTTTGCACAAATGCCTATTTGCACTGAACCATTGCAATTTGCACACTGTTTTTATTCACTGCACTGTTTACACTTTGACCACTGCTGTCTCTTTTGTATAACTCGTGTGTAACAATCCGGAAAGGTATTCCATCTCATTTGAAATATCAATGCAATGTTCATAAGCTGTATGCAACACAATTTCGTTCTGTATGCACAGAGTCCTTCTCCATGACAAATAAAGAAGTCTAAAGTCTAAAGTCTAAAGTCAAAATATATATATATATATATATATATATATATATATATATATATATATATATATATATATATATATATATATATATATATATATATATATATATATAGAAAGGTGTCATAAGCTGATAAAGGAAAAACTGATTGTGAATTGTAAGGGCTTACGGGATTCCCGGATCTTTTCCTTGCTCATTAAGGTAACAGATTTTGGAGTTTTGAAGTGAGACAGCATATTCCAAGCACAATGCAAGATGTTTTCATATAGAAAAACCTGCTGTACCAATCTTTTTTCAGGTCAGATACTCTGCCAAAGAACCCATGATCCTAATTTGAAACAATGCTTGGCGAGCCACAATAGACTGCAAAAGCAAACCCTTATTGATTCATCACAAGTCCAATTCAGAACTCATGCTGAACATAGATTTTTCCACACAGCTACAATATCTATAGAACCTCAATAAAAAAATGTGGTTATATGATTTATATCAAAACTAAATAGTAAAAAAAAAACTCTTATCAAGAACTATTAGGCCATCTGTAATTGATCTGCTGCTATATTGTCTTGTCTTTTGTTCCCACCATTCCCAAACATTATTTCACTCTGTAACCAGAAACCTTCAGATTTCATCCCACATATAGACACACAGAAGTATGTGGTGAGGATATTGAAAGCATTTTTTATATATAAAAGTCTTAAAAGTGTGTGGTGTGAATTTGTATTAAGACCATTGGCTCTGACAGTCCTAAATAAAATCCATTTTAACCATTTCTTTCTTTATAAATGCCTCCACAATTACCTATTGGGTACACAATGTCCATCTTTTATAATTTCAGTATATATGCAGTTATTCTGTGAATATCCCAGGCTTCAAACTCTAAGCATTGTATAAAGTAGGAATGAAAAATAATGAAACCTAGAGTTTAAAGCATTTAGCCCACCCTCCAGAGGGTGTTGTAATGGTTCCAAAGGCCAAGAGAGACAACAACATAGCTCAACTAAATTCAAGATGTTGAATGCAGATTCAGCCACAGTAATTTGGATGCTTAGGCTTCCTAGGTAAAGTTATAATTATTTATTGTCTGCTTCTCTTGCTGGTTTCCATGTTTGCAACCTACTGTAGCCCTCTTTTGTGAACATAAAATTCACAAATGTTCTGACTGTGCCAAAGTAGTTTCACACCAACTCTAGGTTTGAAAGGAGAAAAACTTTACTTATCCATGTCAATGTATAAATTTAGATAGATTTATTTGTCATATTGTTTACAAGTGTAAAACAAAAAAGAAATGTCGTTTAGAAATTTACAATACTTTATAATATATAATAATTTATAATATTGCCATCCCGGGTGGCAAATCTGGATGATTTTGGTTATTTGACAATAAATTTCTAACCAACTTGTTGGGGACAGGATTTTGGTTTCTCTTTGTGGGTTGTTTTCTTGTTTGCCTGCTGCTTTCACCCTTATCCATTAAATGGCAATTAGAGGCTGCAACTGGAGGGGCATGCCCGCTGGCTCTGTCTGTGAACCTCGTACCAATCAACTAATCACCCTGGAGTTTATGAGTAAGCAGACTGCCAGCACCTTGTTGCCTGAGTGTTTGCTAGTTATGGTACCCTGAGCTGCCATAAACATTCTCTCTGTGTTCTTTTCCTTTAGATAAACTTCCAGTAATTGACTCTCGTTGTCAACCTTCTCTCAGGTGTTTCCTCGTGATGCCATGGATCCTCCTTGTGAGGACCTTGTTATGATTTTCAGTATTCTCATGACGCCGTGGATTTTTACCCACTGGATGCCCAAGTCCCTCCATCAACTCCTCAGTTGGATCACAAGCAGTTCCTGGATTCTCCAGCTGGTAGTTGGATTGCTCCTCTTTCCTCCTCCAAGCATGAGTAAAACTGTCTGACCTCTGCCACAGTCTCCATATCATCAACCTGAACTCACTAAGTCAAATTTCTCCAGAGTAGGTCTCTAGAACCTGCAGACCGACAAAGGAACCAAGTCTACATCCCCCTCCCTTTTGGGTGAAGGAAAGCTTCAGGCTGGGAAAGATCAGTTTTTTAACTTCAAAGATCCTATTGCCGACAACCTCAAACTCGTCTTCTCCCTTTTCTGCTCAGAAGTGTGCAGACAACTCTGTGTGCCCTCCCTCCAAGGACCCATACCATTTACTGAACTTTTTCAGCTGTTAAAATAAACCTGATTTATCCGATTGTCTGTTCTCCTGTTCTGCATGTGGGTTAAGAACCTGGAATCCAACATCACGCAACTGCTCCCTTAATTTCTTATCTGAAATTAAAAAGAGCAGAACTGTAATCCTACCAAGACACGCTGTCCACCTAAACTGACAGAACGGATGAGAAAAGCTTTTATTAGAGGCCCTTTAGACCATCCCTACTGTGAAGCACAGATGAAAGCTTCTCAGTTGACAGAGGAACGCAGAATACAAAAGCATGCCACCTTAATCAGCATTTTATTTGAAAAAAAGCCCAACAAAACCTCTTTTCCCTCAATATCCCAATTATTAACTACTGTGTGTTGACCTTTTTACATTGAAATTCAATACGATACATGGAAGTTTGCATTGTGAAAAGGTTTGAAAATGTGAAAACATTCAAGCAATTGGAATACTTCTGCAAGGCATTGTAATAACATTTAAGAATAAAGTAAAAAATATACACTTGTTTACTTTTAACATTACTGAACAAATGTTCCACCAAAAGTCACAGTTCAACTATGTGCAGATGTATGTTTACGTTTGTAATTTCTATATTGTAAATTGGTGATTTGTTGCCCAGCCCTACTCGTACAACTTGTTTCCAATGCTAGGGGAATAGAGAAATATATCTAATAAACGCAGCACTGGGAAACAAGAAATGGAATTGGTCCATGACCATTCTTTTTTATAATCCCAAATAAAGGGCAAAGCATGGAATATTTTTAGGAAAGAATGTCCTTCGTTTTGAATCTGCATGCAATTTTCCCAGTACACACAACAGAGATAGTTCAAATTTGAATGAAAGCAGCTTCAAAGTACACAACTCAATGCACATCACAATCAATAAATCTTTTTCTCAGCCTGACATAAAGTGATAAAAATGATTAACATGACTGAACAACTGATTTCCTCTTGGCTAAAATTCATTCAACACTGAATTCAAATAAAATTAAGTGATTGTGCTTTTATAACCAAAGTAGAACAAATAATACAGAGACAAAATGTACATCACCTAAAAAAGACATTAACACTGTTATATAAAATTCTGAAGCACTTCTGTGGTGGTAAACAATTTACAAGATGGCTGGTAATTACTTTAGTTTAGTTACAGAGCAAGAACGAGACAACAAACAAACATCACACAAAGAGCATCAAGCAGTTGCCATAAGCAACACTTCTGTATGGACTCATATCTGCCATCGAATGTGCATTTGTTATACTTTCAGAAGAACCAGCAGTTCAGGGACCTGAATGCTGCTCGACAAGAAAAAAACAACAAAAAAAACAAGTCCACCATTTAATATGAGAGAATTTTTTAACATCAAATGAGAAATTTTAAGTAGAAAAGGATTTTGTGCAGTACGTTCTGGGTTTATGTCCATATTTTAAAGCATAGTCCCGGGAGACAGGTGTGGTATACTCCTCTTGTGCTCCCAATGCTTCTTAAGTTTTTATAAACTGCAAATATAAAAGGCAGACATGTTTATTTTAATATTAATGGAAACTCAAATGAGTTAAAACTGTAAAATATTTGTAATTTGACAGCTTAGTCATATTTACCTCTTCCACCTGTTCCATGAGGGCGACCTGCTCTTTCTGTTTGGACTTTGATCCTCCACATGACTGAGAGTTTGATGAATTACAACCTGAATCCCTCTGAGCCTGACCTGAGGGGAAAGATGGACGACTGTACAAAAGTACATCCCCAATTTCTGAGGAAGAGATAGGAAAACAAACAAAAAAGTGAAGTAAATTTCTAAAGTCGTAACAGCAGCTGTAGAGGTTAGCAGAAAATACTGTGGTCAAAGTTTTATATCTACCACTTGCTATGGCATTAAATAAACTTAAACAATGTTTTAAAGGAAAATGTAGCTGCATTAAACCTGGAAATCTGCTCAGTTTAGTAAGATATTGCTTAACTACACAGAGATTGAAACTTTTTTTGGGAATGGACATTAGCGCTGGCCTAGCTCTCAGCTAAAAGGCTAGCAAGGCTCTTTATATCAAGAGAGAATGCAGGATTTCCAGGAAATCATTTTGACATGCCACTTGATTTATTCCAATTGTATTTGTCACAGAGCTAATTTGTTTGGCTATGATTAAAGTTTGGTTATATTAAGGAATAGTTTTGTTCAATTTCAATGTCTTGCTGGAGTTTTATTTTTGAAATATCTGCTATGGCACTACAACTGCTGGAGATCTTAAATGATGAATAAAGAAAAACAACAAGTGAAACGGTTTGGGCTCCAGACAAGCATATGGAATTTTGGCCTTAATAAATTGGAAACAAGACTGTACTTTGTCATCAACAATCTAATCAACTTTGCAAAATAATTCCTGCACAAATAGAAAATTTGGAATGTCATCCCTGACCTTGTATGTTTTCTTAAACAAGTGCTACTTTTCTTCAGAACTTAAAAAACGATCAAAACAAACAATGCTGATCTTCTCTGTGAAGATACAGTATATTCTGCTTGATTTATAGACATGCATCCAGTTAGTAATGAAAATTAAGTCCCTCCTATTTTAACTGTAACAATAATAATAATTTACGCTTTTTATTGTGGTTTTGTTTTTAGCGTTTTTGTATATCTATTGTGCTATTAGGTTTTAATGGTATACTTTAGTTTTATCTCTGTAAAGACTGCCACCTGTTCATCAGAAGGGCAAAAGAAACCTGCAGGGCTTGTAAAATTCATTAAAAAAATGGTTGGGCTCAATATATACAGCTATACGGTTCTGCGCTTCATGCTGTCATGGTTGCTAGGCAACAGCAGTTATAGCCAGGCACGAAGAGCTGGTAAGGGCTGCACCTTTCACAGTCGCTCACTTCCGGCTTTTACAGTATCCTCATCCCATTAAGGACCCAGCCCATGTAGAGCGGGTCTTCTAAAAGTTACTTCCCCTGAATTAGGGCGCAAATACAGTTACACATGGTGAACGCTGTTCACTAATTGGGGGACTTCTAACGGTTGCTTGAAACACTATATTTTATTTTTGGGTACTAGGAGTAAAATGAGTTTAATATAAATACAATTCTTGTCCTTATTTATTTTCTTATTCCAAGTCACAATATTGTAGTTCTCAGTGTAGCTCTATCACATTCTATAAAAACAGCCATAAAATACTTTATGGCTGTAAGATGAAAAACTAAACAAGTATATATGGGGTTGAAATACTTCTGCAAGGCAATACATCAAAAGATTTCAAAAGGGGCCCTGTAATTATTCAGTACCTGAATGCTGTATGTTGTTGTTGTTTCCTTTGGCCCCTTGAGGATCCTCTTCCTGACTCTCTCTCTGCTCGATTGCTCCCTCTCTGACCCTGTGAGTCCCAGTGCTGCCTCGCCTGCCCCGGCCCTGCCCAGAGCCCATCCGTGGCAGAGTAGCCCCCCTCATTTTGTAGTCGCCATGGGATGCCTGGCTTATAAAATTTAGAGGCATGCAAGAGTCTAGAAAAAAAAGAAAAAAGAACAAAACTTAAATATATTGTTGGCGCTACAGAGATAAACGCAGCAGCAGATTTAATCCATGGTTCTGACTTTACCATCGCTGAAGATATCTTTGGATTGAAGGTCCTGTTGTGCAGACTGGTTCTGTTTATGGCGTCTGGGCCGTTTATGTGTTATTGCAGGACTCATGTTGCTGTCCGTGGACATGGGGCTACTTGGTCGCTGGTGTCGGCGACCTGAAGTCAGGAGAGGATTTGCACACTAATTTAAACTGCATATAATGTATGATATCAATATTCTGACTTCACTTTAAAGACATGGCCAGGAAGTTCTCCAACACAGATAATTCAATCTTTTGTAAAAAGACAAAATCTTTAAAGAGACCTAAGAATATGTTTTCCAAACCGAAGATTGAAACAATAAGGTTTCGATAAAAATGACAGAAATCAGGAAAAATACTTTCCAATTTACGGCACAAAATGTGCATAAGTTAGGGATAGTTAGGTAAAAAACAAGTTATGTGCACCTCACCTGGCACCTCTGGGTACCTGCACATACGCAGGCCGACTACGTCCCTGGAAGAGGTGACTCCCTGGTTGAAATCACCATCTGTGAAAAACGATCCCTCTGAAGTGCTTACAACGCTGGACCTGCCCGACGAGATGTTATCCTCGGATGCTGATCCCCAGCTGTTTACCATAGACCCTGTGACTGATCTGTCAAGCTCCGCCATGCTGGAGGCTGGCGTCTGCTCCAGACCTTGCAGGAGCAGCTTGTGTGGGGAGGCGTGGAGCGGTTGGTGTTTGTGCTTCATGTGATGCAGGGATTGACTGTAGAGATTTTCCACTAGCTCAACCTCTGTCTCCTTGCCGACCTCCCCATTGTTTTCCTCCAGTCCGTCTGTGTCCACTATTGAGCAGTAGGTGTGGACAAGCTGTTCGGCATCAACCTGAAGGCCGTTGTTAAGGTCTCCCTGTGAGGTAGAAGAGGCCAGGCAACTACAGGACACTTCAGTAGTAGATGAGGCTTTTCCTCTGACTGGTGGAGTGGGGCAGCTTTCAAGTCTTTGCTCTCGATCAAAGCTGATAAGATAAGAAATGTAAAGAAGAGGCAAGATCTGAAAATCACGTGGGCTTGATATGGCAGCTGCTTAACTTAAACATGGTTTTGTTTTTACTGCAAGCAAAGTAATGTATCTTTCATTCTAGATGAAAAATGCTTAAAATATAATGGGCACCTTTTTTTAATAGTAGGACTCTTTAGTAGGTTTATTGTTTGTCATACCAACATTGCAAGATGTTGCAGAACAAATAGAAAATGAAAAAACCCTAATTTATTTCATATCACTGCCTGACCTGTAAGCTGAAAGGTCAATAAGAAACCAATACATGCTACATGTAAAATAACACGTTAAATAGAAATATATAAAAAAAAAAATTGAGAAGTGTGGCATGGGCTATGTCTACAATGAACCATAGTGGTTACTGCATCATGCTGTGGGAAAAGCTGATGGGAAGAAGATGGCATACTGGGTGGCAGAATAGTTTAGAGCATCTTCCCCAACGTCTGACCGGTTTTCCCACTGAATGATGTTTCACTGTCTGGATGCTTTACTACACACTTCTCAGATTTTGTTTGGTAAAAAATATTGTAGAATACAAGCCTGCACCATGTTGATCAATCGGTCAAAACCAGAATAAAAAATTTCATTTTAAAAACTGGAAAGTTTGTTTATTAAAAATAACTGAATTCCCTGATTAAACACATTTTAAAGATTCGTTATTTGCAGATTGATGTTTCATAGCCATATGAATTTTAATTAGATTTTGTAAATAAAAACAATACATTTGAGATGAGAATAAAACAGACCAATGCCAAAGGAAAATAAACATTTTCAAAATGTGTGCAGAATGACATGTATGTTTGAGTGCAGCTTAAAACAAGGTATTTTCAATATGAATGCACTTTCTGTCTGTTAAATATCACTGTATGGGCTTCTATCAAGCTTCTCAATTGTTTATGCAAGGCTGTGTTCAGCATCTTTTGCCTTTTATTGTACCTCATCTCCATGGGCAAACTATAGTCATCGCAGTCCCAGGCATTAGGATGAGAATCAGACAAAGCATCTCCCCAGCTCACTGCATTGTGTTTGGAAATCTTTTGGGCCCGCATTGCTTTCTTTTGATTTTGGCTCCCTGATAAAAAACACACACAATTGAAAGTAAGCGCTGAACAGCTCTCATTAATATCAACCCAGTGTTTTAGAGTACAGCAGATGATGGCATCACCTGAGGTGCTATTGCTGCCTCTGTCTGAACTCTGGTGGGAGCCGCCTGTGTTGTGGTCGCGGGTCTGGTTGTATGGTATGCTTTTTGGGTAAATCATAGCGTTGTTTCCCTGCAGATCTGGAAATATAGATACATTCTAACCTGGAAAATCTTTTCTTGATTTTTATACAAATAAAAGGACATTTTATGTGCTACATACCACTGCAGTTCTGCTCGGCTGTGCTGTGCTGCATCAGCGGTGTCTCCTTTGGTATTGGAGGAAGGCTGGGGGGCTGTTTCCAGCTGGGTATATCCAGCGGCTCAGCTGCACAGCCACCAGCAGCTGCCTTGTTCTTAATATTGGACTGAATGAGCTGTGTGGTGGCATATGGTATGGGCTCATACGTGCCTGGCGATTCTGCTCCTGGGCTTGCATAGAAGTAGTTGCCATTGTTGAATGCTTTAATTTCACTTAGCTTGTTCGAGAGGTTGGCGTTGCTGTATATAGGGGTCTCAGAACCAAGCTGTCCTCCTTGTTTGTTTTCTGGATGGTTTCCAAAATTGGCAATGCAATCAGCTGAGAAAGGGAAACAAAGTAGCACATGAATGAGGCAATAAAACAATAGGCTATAAATCTTTAAGCATTGCTGCAAGGCATTGGTATTTTATTAGTAACATAAGTTGTATTTCAGACTGGTATGTGAGCTATGAGATGTTTTTCACACCAACCTGGCCGGCTGTAAGTTGTCATGTTGCTGTCACTGGTGCCGTTACCATTATTGCAGCAGTTGATGCTGCAGTCCTTATGATTGGCACATGCATTTGGCCAGTTGTCTGGCAGCCACAGCTGGTTCAGAGGCTCACCCATGTTGAGAGGGACAGGTCTGCAACGAGGTGGACCACAGCGTCAATTAAAATCTGCTGGCATTTTTCTTATTGCTAAGAGCTGAGAAAACATACAGTGGATTCAGAAAAGAGTTTAAACGCAGGGAGACATCCCCCCCTAGTGTTTTCACAATGCAACTGAAATTCTTCCATCACTGTATGTAACACAATGGGACAAAAATATCAGTCACCTGCCAGAGCCACACACAGAGTCTCCTCTTTGATATGCCACTGAGAAGACAAAAGCAAAAAATAAAAAATAAATCAACCTTGAGGAGATAAAACAGGGAAAAACTGCAAATAGTGAAGACAGCTGTGTAAGACAGATTAAGAGTCTGCACAAAAAATAAATCCTACATTCTTCCAAAAGCAAGTTAATTGTTTTTTTGCATAGAGTATATCTAGTTTAATTTGTATCTGCATTCATCTCAGCACTTCTGATTTTGGGAATCATATGAACTAAAATAATTTTGCTGGTAAATCCTTTGATCACTCTGCACCAAAATGTCTGTACAATCTACTGTACACTTTTTTCACACATTTAACCTCAGTTTATCTCTCTAATGAGAGCTGTTTGTGTGAAAAATTAACTCCTCGTTATTTTAATTTTGTCTCGTTTCAGAAATCTCAGAAACGTCTATATCCTTCTATCAGAAAGCTTTTGGACGTTTCAAACCTAAATGTAATTTCTAACAAGAAAGAAAAATGTGAGATGTTTAATCATCTCACATTTTTCTTAATGTGAAATCTCTTATATATAATATTTTAATATATTATCAAATATTAGCATCAATAGGTTGTATATATATATAGATAAAATGAATATATGCAATCAACCCCCAAAATCTTAAATTGCGTGCATCTTTGACATAAAAAAAGCTAAAAATACTGAATTTGGCATTAAAGTACATACCTGTAGGCGTGAAGGTAAAAGATGGGACTGTGCAGAAACACAAACAAGAAAAGATAGAAACCAGGAAACATAATAAAATATACTGGCGGAGTTCCCTTTAAAAAGCATTGTATGAAGTATATATAAACATACATCTTATATCTTCTGCAAATGCTGCTTCTATTTTTAATTTGAGTTTTCAGGCTAAGGTAAAAAAGGAGGGGGGAGGGGGCAACTAGACAGCAAACAGAACTATCAAACAGATAAAGGCTTGGCAGCTTGACAGCTTTGTGCCTCTAAATACTGATGCACTGACAAAAAGACACTCTACAAATATGTGATTAAAGGTCACAAAATGTCTACACAGCCTGGAATGAAAATATGTCAAAGGATGATTAGACCAGAGCACCCCCACCCAGGTCTGATATGCTTATCCGCCTCAGAAGATTCCTTTAATATCAATGCAAAGATGACTTCTGCTGTGTGGTGGTGAAATGTCACTGTTTGAAGGTCTCACTAATTATATTATCCAATATATGCACTCTAAAAGCTAATGTTATTACCTTTAAATAATACATTAAGCCTTCATACATATGAACAGATATTCTTTCATGTGTTGGTTAACAGTGAATGAACACACCCTTCCGGATGCCAGTGTATGTGCTGCTGAGACCACTCCTCTTCTTTCGGTGACGGTAGAGCCACACGCTGAAAATCATGAGGATCAGCCAGCAGGTGGCGCCGATGCCTGCAATAAAAGCTGGCTGCTTCACCACCTCAGAGATCTGTGATAATGTGCCTCTTTTGTCACTGATGTCCATCATCTGGCCTGCAGAATCTGATCGAGCAAAGCAGAAGGACATTTATACACTGTTCACAAATGCAAAGGTTTTGGTGGGTGCATAAAATGCCACAAAAACAGCTGAAAATAGAAATGTGAGAAGCTGGCCAAAAGTTAAGGACAGCATCTAGAAAAGAAGAATGAGAGACACTGAAATCTAATAGAAACCTACCATCTAAAAGTGTATTACTGATCAGCTACCGGGAACAATTACCTAATTGAAAGAAGGCTACATCACTCTTGACTCCGGGCCCAGCAGCATTGCTTGCTGCCACCTCTACACTGTAGCGTATTCCTGGGGCCAGGCTGGGAATGAGCACAGAAAAGGTTGAGCCATCCACTGACTGATTCACATGGTAGCGGCTCTCATTACCCAGGCACCAGATCTGTGGAATGTACAGAGAGATGACAATGTTTGCCAGAGGGACACATTCAACAACACAGTGCAACAAAAATTACAGTCAGATTTGAGCTGTGGTATTTTTTTTTTAACCTTGTATTCCTGAATGATTCCATCATCTGCTGCCTCTTGAGGCGGATTCCAGGAAACAAGGATGGCACTCCCATTGGTATCGCTCTTTGTGACTGTGACACCCTGGGGGGCTCTTCTTGGGGCTAAAACAGAAATACAAACAGTCGGCTACAGTGACATGAATCTGGAGTGCCGTTGCATTCCAAATAAGGCACAAAAGAAATGTTCTTCAACACATTTTCTCACATCACAATAATTTATGAATCCTGCAGTATCCTTCAGATACAAATCCAAAATGCATGGTGTACATTTGTACTTACAGCCAATAAACTATGATAACCCTGAACTATAACCTAATTAGCATCTAGATTCTGTGAATGTGCATATAAATATTTTAACAGAAGAATCATAGGAACTAATAAACACATATGGGATATAAGGGGTGCAGCTGTTTAAAGATGGGGAGTTTGAAGCTGAGTCAAGTTATAGAACAACATTAAAAATTCAAGAAGAATAAATCCATCAACTAAAAACAGAGAAAAGTTTGGCACCACTATAAACTATCAAAACATTGCTGAAATCCTTATATTACAGGTTAAAAAATGTATGTATTTATCAAAGAAACTGCTAGACGGCCAATAGCAGCTCTGGAAGAGCTGTAGAAATTCAAAGCTAAGGTGACACAATCTGTTGAAAATAAGTCACGACATCTAGCAGCGCTGCATGAGCCCGAACTTTCTTTTACACCCTTCAGAGATTTTTCCTAATATATAGATAATCTAAATTCATCTGTATCATACTTTTTTATTGACAATTTTATTTCTATGTCATTGGTTTTTAAGAGACTGCGTGAGTTCACTCCCATTTTTTAACACAATCAGTAGCTCGACTGTGCCACTCCTACTGAGCTTAGAAGGAGGAGCCCTGAGTCCTGCACCGTGATAAGGTACAAACCCATCATCCCGTCTATCATCTTGGGAAATTTTCCTTCCCAGCCAAGTGGATGAATTGGCAAACCTTGCATGGCATCAAAGAAGTGAGCAACTTCATTATCTTGACTGAGCGTTTTTCATTTACTTCAGGCCAGCCAAACCATGAATAGGTTAAGAAGACAGAGGAGTGTCTGGCTGTGTTTGCAAATCATTCATTGATAGTGCAACTCTTGACATTTCACTATGAAATGTCATAAGGACATTGAGTTGCTAGCTGTAAGCATGTGGCTCTATCGTCTACCACTGGAGTTTACTTGTATGTCAATAAGGTTTTAAGAGACCCCCTCAGCCAGTGCTGTAGTAGGTAGCAATGTCATCCATGTTATTACCAGAAGTCTCCAAACAAAAGGCCTATTTTCTGCTCAGGGGGATTTTAATCATGTCTTTCTTTCCTCCACTCTCCCCACCTTCACCTAGTATGTTACCTGCTGCACCAAACACAATGAAACACTCCTCAGTACACCAAGGAGGCATGCAGCTTATCAGTCTCCCTCCACTGGGAGTTTCTGAAAACAACCTGGTTTATCTCCATCCTTTCTTTACAAAAACCCCTGCAAACAAAGAATCCACCATGAGATGCACAGTGAAGAGGACTGAAGAAGTCCAAGTGACTGTTTCAAGTCAGCTCTGTGGGAAGAACACTGTGCCCATCATGAAGACGCAATATTTGTCCACTGAGTCAACTCAAACATAAAGGCTCTCCCATAAGAGAAGAAAAGACTGTTTAGATCAGGAAAGGAGAAGTTTAGAAGCATGCAGATGGAACGAAGAGGAGGATCTGGCATGGAAAAATAATGTCTTGTAGAGTCTATTGTTCACATTTTTTTTTTCACTTTGCTACTAATATATAAAGGATATATTCCAGGATATCCAAACTGTCTTTCTATTCTATTCTATGTCTATTCTATTCCATTTGATTCTATTCTATTTTCCTAACAACATGCCCGTATGGCAGTTTGGATAGACGAAACCCTTGTTAAAGGTACTATAGTTTTCCTGCTTGTCATAAGTAATGTGGAAGGAAAACACATGGAAGTAGGTGATCTGGTCAAAAAATATTTAAAACAAAAGTTTTTTTATTGGAAAGAAAGTACTTTATGTAGCAAACATTGATACCACACTTATCATTCTCATAGTAAAAGAATGGTTTTGGCCACAACATGCTGTGCATATATTTTCGTACCCCAGCTTCAGTGAAAGTAGTCCTTGCAGCTAATGTGACTTACAGGAAAGACGTAAATACAAGGAGATCTTGGAAGAAAGTCTTTCTTGGTGCTGCAGTAGACTGGAGAAATGCAACTATGTATTGAATGAATGTCAGTCTCTAGAGCAGTGGTCACCAACGTGGTGCCCGTGGGCACCAAAGGGCCCTCAAGGACAACATGGGGTGCCCTCAGCATCTTTTGAAAACAGAACAATTCACCAGTGGACTAAATCTGAAATGTTATTTTTTACTGAAGCTCTTATTTTGAAGCATTTATGAAGCATTTTATCATATCAATAAATTAGAACATTTGAGGATTTATATGGATTTCATAATGAGAATATCTAAAAGCAAATTAAAAATGAAAAGAAACAATAGAAATATGTTTATTATCTATGAAGATCAGGTGAACGCCGACTCCTCTAGTTCATAGGTCAGTATTGGTAGCCCATCCTATGACTCAGTACCCATAAAGTAGCCCTCAGCCTTAAAAAAGTTGGTGACCCTGCTCTAGATGCTAGAGCATACCTCAAATGATGGGAAACACTAATTGCAGCAACATATACTTTTACTGTGTAAAGTACTTTGAGTCATTTTTCTGATCATTATAGGTTCTTCCACGCCACAATGATATGATATACTCCTTGGTATATCGTAAAATATCTAAATAAGATTAAGGTTGGGGAGAACGCGAAAAAAAAGATAGTAAATGTTAGAGCTATAAATATTTTGCAAACCTTAATAGTTGGAATTGTATTTGCTCACTTATGTTTAAAGATACTGTATAAAAAAATTACCTTCTTCCAATGTCCTGACCACCTTCACCTCGCTGTCAGCTCCTTGGAACTCATCAAAGAAAGGTCTCACTTTGAACTCATAGATGCATCCTTTCTTTAGCTGACTGATCACCACCCCGTCCCCCGGCAAAGCACGCACTTCCAGAACAGTCCACTGTGATTCTGGCTGCCCGTGCTCAGCGGACATTCTGTAAAGTACCTTGTAACCCTGGATGTAAGGGGACAGCTGTTCGACCTGGAGAGATGCAGAAACCAAAAGCACACAAACCTTTGAATATACCTATACCAGTACAAATCTGGAGTAAAAGTTTAGCTCACAACAACATAGACTAAGTTGTAATTGTTGAGTTATAAAATCTTACAGGAAGGATATATTAAAATCTAGTAACCCCATATCTTGTATTAACTTCTACATATGAAATGTGAATTCTCTGTGTGAACCACAATCTGAGGTCATTAATAGTTTCCACTCAGCATGGTTTGAAAGGAAGTTAGAAAGAAGTCAACTAAGCACTTTCCATTTAAACCACATGGTTTTGGCAAAGAGTGCCTGAAGGATTTTTTATTTTTTTTGCTTTTTTCTCCTGAAATGGATTTATGAGCAGACACCCACACACGTACAAAAATGCTGCTGGCATAGTTGTATATGTGCAAAGCTAAATGCAATGGATGACAGATCAGTTCTTGCAGTAGATCAATTCCCAACCATTTCAACTTCATAGAATGGAGTATAGAGAGAGAAAAAAGTATGTTTAAAATTTCTAACATTGTGCATAAAAATGATGATACAAACTACTGAGCTGAACAATCTGTTGAAGCATACTTGCTAATTAATCAGTAACTCTTATTTCATAAAGAATGGATATAAACACCCGAATAAAAGAAGTTTTTTTGTGTACTGCCATGTTTGACTCTTCAAATCATTTATCCTAATACTGGGAGCTGGGAGTGCAAATAGCAAGGAGCATCTTCAGCATAGCAAACACAAACTTACCATCCATTGTACCCTGACAGCTGAGGATGACAGGACTGTTGGTGTTTGGAGGTGAATCACAACATCACCAAGTTCTTTCTGGATGTGACGGTGGTCCACCCCCTGCATGGTGGAGGAGCTGTCTGTGTATATCAAAGAAAAGGAAAAACATCAAATGCACTGTCTTATCATTTTCTCAAACTACAAGGAAAAAATTTAAAGTATTTGATTGGAATTCTATGAAAAATATCAACACAAAGAACTGATTAATAGGAAATAAGAATGGAAATTATATTTAATTGTCAAAACCATTAAAAGGTTTGTGTATTTGTTAAGTAGCCTGGGATCAATATGTTGTACCATCTGTCATTGCAGTTATAGCAGCATATCTCCTAAATTATGTTGCCACTATTGTTCTTGGCAAAATAGTTCAATAGCACGATTGATAGCATCTGTATATAGCATGTGTATATGATAATTTGCAAGACTTGAAAATTATGATAGGAACTATTATAGGAATTCTTATTTGGACTTTGATTGAAACAATGTAACACCTAAATATGGTTTGACCTTAACTGTATTTTATGTATGAATTATACATTAAGCTTCAAAAATGTTGCACTATGTTATGTTGGTAACGAATACAAACTGTAACAGAAAATTTTAAAAAATGTTTTTTTTTTTAAATAAAAAAAGTGAATTCCATTCAGGTTAAAAGTGTTTACTAGAAGTGAATGAAACAGGCGAAAGAAACACTTACCCTCAGTTCTGACTGAGTCAGAGATTGGACTAGGATCACTGAGTCCGTACGCATTCATTGCTCGCACCATAAAGAGATAAATGGCTCCGGGCTTCAGATTGGTCATAACGTAGGACTCTGTTTTCACATGTTCTGCTAAGGTCACCCATCTGTTTCCTAATGCATAACTATACACAGATAGGACAAAAAATATTGAATATCAAAACATTAAAATTACGCTGGATTGAAAAAGACAATTATTCAAAGATCTACCTGAATGCTTCGATTAGGTAGGATGTCGGCGGTAGACCAAGATTGGTGCTTGACTTCCATGACAATGTGACAGATGAATGGCTCATGTTAGAAACTACAGGCTTAGATGGGGCACCAGGAATCAGGCTGGAATCTTTGGTATGGCCAGACTGGACGACAATGCCAAATTCTGCCAAAGAAATTCCAAAACATTCACTAAAATATAAACTGTAAATAATCCTCAGTAGGAAAACAATCATTGCATATAAATAAAACACCTTCTACTTGCAGAAATGCGGTCCAGGAAGCTTCTCCACTTGGACTAGTAGCAACACATGTGTAGAATCCAGAATCCCCTAGCTGATCAGACAAGATTAAGGTACATCATTTAATAGCATGAATTTGGTGTACGCCAGCTGTTAAACATAGCTGTAGTCTCAGGCCCTTACTTTGGTATAGTGGATCTTCAGTGATCCTGTTTCTGTAAGGGATATCCGGGAGTCCAATGGAGAGACCAATGTGCCGTCCTTCTTCCAATGAACATTAGGAGGCGGAGTACCAACAGTTTGGCAATTCAGTACTACTGTGCTGTCAACAGGAACAGTCTGATTGACAGGACCCTGTCTGATGACAGGAGGGGGGTGGTCTGATCCACCTGAAGGAAAATAAGAATCAGAAAAGGAGGAAAAAATAGTATTATATTATATTCTGACTTCTGATTCTACACAGCAGTATCTCACTAGATGTCGTCTAGCTGTTTTCTTTACCTAGGTGAGTACTTAGCAACTACGAAAAAAAAAACAACTGTTGGCAAATTGTTTTGATCTAATTGAAGAGATTTTGCTTTTGGGACAGCAGTCAATTTACTTCTGACCAAACACTGGTTAAAAAAGTTTGTTGAGTGAGGCAACATCTAAAAGGAGCATAGTCATTCTTTTGAGTCATACAAATCCTGATCAGAGTTCACAAAACATCTTATATCTGCTTTCTGTTAATCCCTTCTATGAATCTCTAGTCATGTCAGATTCAGTTTGATTATTCTAAATATCAGACAAAAGAGGAAGTTTGCAGAAATATATATTTAAACTCTACTTTCCCACATCTTAACATTAACATTTTTTTCCTTTCTACTTTACTTCTCTTATTCTCTGTCAATTATTATAAACTTAAAGTTGTAAATTTAAAGTGTAAGCTATTAGAAATTGAGCTGATGCTCAAAAAGGGTCACAGTTATAAACAGAAACTTCTAAAAGTAAGAAAGATGAGACTAAGGTAAATAAAAATGAAATGGAAAGGAGGCAGAAAAAGATAAGATGTGAAAGATATTGAGAGGAAAATTGGTAAAGCGGGAGAACAATAGGCTTAGGTGGATGTGTAGGGTTTCGAGGAGAAAGAAATCAACTTTTCCCCTCCAGCGGAGGGCAACTAATCATTCATTGGGTAGAAGGTACTGCTAGAGTCGGCTCCAATCATGACAGCAAAGCCCAACTAATAACAGTTCCACTTAGATAACCGAGCTCCCCTTTCTCTCACACACATTTTAAAAAACCCTGTGGGTGGGGGCAGGAAAGGATTTAAGACAGCTGAAAAAAAATTTTGAAAAAAAATAAAACACCCCAATTCCCTCCAATAAGCTTTGAAAAGTGCCTGAGGAGATGTGAACCTGTTATTACCATACAAATGCTCCTCTCCAGTTGGAGATGAAAGGAATGTGGTAGGATGGAGGGAATTTAGACGAGACAAGAAAAGTCAGAGAGCAGATCTATGTGCACAGCTGGAAAGAACGACAAAAAATACTCCACTATGAACCTTTTTTAATGCAGCATACCTACCGTTGGTAAGCGGATGTGAAAGCGAGTCCCGCATTTAAAGATACAATGTGTAATTTTCTGCGACATCTAATGGTCAGACTGCATACAGCAGCAACATGAACCGTCCCTCTAACAATACGGACGTCATGGTACAAAATTATTTCCAGGAAGTCCACTTTATGTATTTTGTCAAGTGAGGTTGAGGTTTTATTAACATTAGATGACAGCATCAAATCCATAAATTTTTCAATACTGTTGTCCCATGTACATTGCCAAGTATAAAATTAGGAGATGAAAAATTATCATGAATTGACCACTGTTTGAGTGAAGGAGGCTGCAGAGACAAGCCTTTAAAAACCAAAATGGAAGAAAATACTGCGGATCAAGGATAAATCGGGGAATGCTCTTAACCTCTTTAATTCCACAGGTTTGTGAGTGGCTTTTAAAAAAGGTGTTTTAATTTAGCCCTTACAGGACTGTTCTGTGTTCTGCATCCTACCTCCCGTATAGACAAAGCCAAGATGATGCCTTCCCTCACTGCTGGTTCTCGCTCCGTACGCAGGCTCTGTACCTCAGCGGTTATCAGTCAATCTCCAGCTCTTAGGCCCTAGATGCTAGCCTTGGCCTGACATTGTCCCTTCCTGCTCTGTCACTTTGACAAGCTCCTTCAATGTCAAGCCATCCTCCTTACGGTAAGCCGCAGCCACTCCACCCTGCCTTTGGACCTATCTCCACCTGGTAGACTAATCTGATCATCCGCCGTTATGCTTTGATCCTCCGCAGTTATCCTCTAGTAAGCCTTCGCCAACTTTAGAATCTTCCAGGCCATCACACCTGGCAGTCCTCTCCTAGCTACCGTTGTGCTTCTTGGCTACCTTCCTAAGCTACAGTAGCAGCAGTAAGCTACCTCCTCTGCCGCTGTGGTTCCTTAGCCATAGAGGGCGGCATAGCAGGCCCAGCTAGTCCCGGTTATGTGGAGCTTGCGTTGCTTCCACAGGAGCTCAGAAACTTTGTTTCTTCTTATCTCTGTTTTCCAGGAGATTTGTCCCTCTGTTTTGGGCACTTTGACCAAAACAAACATAGGCCAAAAACAAAACAAAAAACAACTAAAAACCAAAACAACGGGCACTTCATCTTCATAAAGATCGAAGTCATCTACATAACTGGTAAGTTGCTGGTTGTGTTTAGTGTAAATCTAGTTTACATAGATAATTTTATTAAATGTTTTTTATTAGTCTGTGTATAACTGTATAAAGGCCTAACCTGCCGCAATCCAATTCGAGGGCAACAGCAATCTCTACAATCCCTAGTTTATCAGCTCTGTGGTTCCGTAACGCAAAAGATGTCTGCCTTCAAAAATGCACCGACTCCTATGTAAAAATAAAATGCAATTTCTAAGGCAAGTGAAACATAAAGATATTGACTTTCATTTCATAGTGATAATAGTAAAGTAAATCCCTTTATTGTCCCACAATGGGGACAGACATTGAGAATTAGCCTTAGCTAAAATGTTATAGTGTGTGACATGATGCATGAAACATACTTGTCCCTATCAAATAAACGAATAAAAAAAAAATAAAAAAATAAATTCACTCTCTGCATTCGACCCCTTGGGGCACAGTGGGCTGCCATTGTGTATGCCTGGGAAGCAGTGTGGGGTTACATTAAATGTTTTGCTCAGGAACCCAGAGTGGAGGCTGTGGGGGTTGAACTGGGCAATTGCAGCCTTCTCACAGCACAAGCACACTGCTCTAACCCACTAGGCCAACAGTCCCCAAATAACATACTGTACATATAGATAATATATTAAATCTGTCAGTGAATCCCTGGAATTATTACACACTGTACCTTTAATAACCCCACAAAGTAGATCCATTTACTGTCTGTTGAAACCTGAAGCAATTACCCCCCTTGATATAATGTATGTATATTTCCCCAAGTTACATGTATTCATGCTCACACAGGTGTGTAATTATTGGTTTGGGCCTGCAAGCATAGATAAATTGGTTTTTCAAAAGCAATTAACAGATTTTCAATCATGTAGGATTTGGATTAGAATCCCCTCCAAGCTTTATACAGAGTACCCTCAAAAGCCATCACATCACCAAATATGTGGCTATGTATTAAGGAGGGACATGTCTGATTTAGTTTCATCTGACCAAGTGACATTATTTCACAAGTCCTAATTTTTGGTCAACTGTACTGTAATATATAAGTTGTAAAAGGCATGAGGGACATATCACCTGAAGCCTTTGTTATTTTATTGTACAACCTCGTACTCTCGTACTCGTACTCGTCGTCTCCCGCTTTATCCGGAACCGGGTCGCGGGGGCAGCAGACTAAGTAGAGACTCCCAGACTTCCCTCTCCGCAGACACCTCCTCCAGCTCTGTTGGGGGAAGCCCTAGGCGCTCCCAGGCCAGCCGAGAGACATAGTCTCTCCAGCATGTCCTGGGCCGTCCCCTGGGCCTCCTCCCGGTGGGACATGCCTGGAACACCTCCCGAGGGAGGTGTCCAGGGGGCATCCGAAGAAGATGTCCGAGCCACCTCAACTGACTCCTCTCGATGTGGAGGAGAACCGGCTCTACACTGAGCCTCTCCCGAATGACCGAGCTCCTCACCCTATCTCTAAGGGAGAGCCCAGCCACCCTGCGGAGAAAGCTCATTTCAGCCGCTTGTATCCGGGATCTCGTTCTTTCGGTCATGATCCAAATTTCATGACCATAGGTGAGGGTAGGAACGTAGACCGACCGGTAAATTGAGAGCTTTGCCTTTTCGCTCAGCTCTCTCTTCACCAGGACAGACCGGTGCAGCGTCCGCATTATTGCAGCAGCCGCACCGATCCGTCTATCGATCTCCCGCTCCATTCTTCCCTCACTCGTGAACAGGACCCCAAGATACTTGAACTCCTCCACTTGAGGCAAGGACCTCAAGTACAACCTAATTTAGATTTAGACATTTTATTGATTTTATAAGCCAAATCCTATGATCTATCTTATATTTAGTTTCTTTGTATTTGTTGCTTTCTAGCAGTGTTTGGTTCTTCAGTTACTCTCTTTTCTCCCCACTGTGTTTGTTTCCTTTCTCCTTGGCTTCCTTCTAGGTGATTCCATCCACACCTGTTCCTTGTCAGCTCATTATCCCAGGCATTGTTCTGTCTCCTATATATACTCTCCCTGTGCAGTTCCTCAGGGCTGGTTCCTCGTCTTTTCCTGGCTCCCCACATGAGTTTTCCCCTGAAGGTTTCTGTTTTTTGGTTCCTTGTATATTTGTACTTTGGTTTTTGGATTTTTGCCTCAGTTAATTCATTAAATCTATAAAACTCACCTTTGCATTTGAGTCCTCAAAACCTCAACTCAACCATGAGAATAAGAAAAGATTTTCTGTCCCAAGCCCTTCTACTCTGAGTCGTTATTATTTATTAAAATTTGAAGCAGGTGCTATGAAAACAAAAAACAAACCAAAAAAGGTGTTTTAAAAAACAAGCTGTTCTAAGCAATTAGTGTTTTAAGCATTAGTAACTGTAACAAATAATTCTGATAGTTTACAACACAGTAAACTTCATTTTCTCTGTGAAGCCCTATTAATAATGCAGTAGAAAAATCAATTAGCTTATTTCTCTAAGCTATTTCTCATTGGTTATTATCTTCTTGTCATTATCCTGTTTACTCACACTTGTACACCTAACAAGCTGTGAAAAATGCAGGTTTTATACATGGTTGGTCATCAAGTTTAATAGCCGCATTTTACTACTTCCTCTGTTTAATTATACACAAGTTTCAAAGATGTTGTTTATTTCTTACATGGGAATTTCATAGTTATGACTTCATCTTGTTGACTTCATCTCGTGCTTGTGACAGTGTAATGACAATAAAGTTGGATTCTATTCTATCTTTGTCTGCTAATTAATAACATTTTTTTTATTGTTTAAGGCAGGTTAAAATACAGATACTGAGAAAAAAAAATCTGACTTCAAAATGAATTTTCATTTTCAACTAGTAACTCATCCGAAACAAATATTGTCTTGCTTTAACCATACACACAGTTCATAGGTCCGACTCTTGATTGAAAGCTGCTGTGGAAAAAAAAAATGTTTATAGATAACCAATGGTTTCTACATAGCTCTAGTTTTCTAGATGTTCTGTGCATCACCTTGTTTAGTTCTGGTCCTGAAAACACTGCTTCTAAAGACCCATGGAGTTTAGGTGTATGTTACTTGACATTCTTTCTTCTCTAAGACTATTTATTGCTTTGATGTTCAATTAAAATAATTCTAAAGCCAGGGGGGAACAAGATTATTTAGATTATACTCTGATACCTAAAGCCCAACTACCAAAAATGTGTACATTTTGTTTTCTATGCATATATTACTTTTTGCTGAAGTTATCAAGTTACGAACTTTAAGATTCTTAGAAGTGAGAAACGCTTCACAAAGCATTCTACAATGAGCTCCAGAATAACTTTGATATCTAAAGAATAAAAAAAGAGCTGTGAACCAAAGTCAGTAGACTGAATCAAAAGTTGTCTCATTTGGCCTCCTTCTCAATTACTCACCGTCTGTAACTTCTAGCAGAGCTTTAGTAATGACACTTCCAGCTATATTGAGAGCCTGGCAGATGTAGAAGCCGGCGTCGGAGCGTTGAACGTCTGTAATGGTTAAACTGCCCATCTGGGAGACAGACAGTCGGCTGAAGGGCTGCGGTGGCTGGTAGGAGAACAGAAGACTCTGGAGAAGAGATGAGAATCACAGTGCAAAGCGTGCTCATTATCTTTATTTACACCAAGAGCTGATTTAGTGGGATGACAGAGCATGGGGGGGTCGGTCTCACCTCACTGCCCTCCCTCTGCCAGAAAATAGCTGGCTGCGGGTTGCCAGTGGCTTCGCACTGGAAGGTGACCGTCCTGCCCACTGACACCACCTGGTTCCTGGGGCGTATGGCGAAGGCAGGGGGCACTATAAAAGAAAGGAGGCTCTAATTAACTGGCAGCCTAACACATGTTGATCATTCTGGGTTTAAAAAAAATCCCAGTATACATAAAAATTATTAATTATGAAATGTTTTTTTAAAATATATATATTTTTTAAAAGCCACAAATCTGCATTTCCCCCCACACATAACATACATTACATACTGTAATAGTGAATGGCAAAACAATGACAGGTTCATGAATTCCTGATGGTGGATGAAGGATGGAAGACAACTTACCGGTGTTGACTAAAAGAGAAAGAAGACACAAAGAGCAGTGGAATGAGTGATTATGTTGAAAAAATGAGCTTAGAACCTAAATAAATAAATACAGAAATATAATTTAATATTTCTAAAATTGTGTAGTTTCCTTCTTTTTGTCACAAATACAGTATATAAGATCCCCTGTCATTTGTAATCTCGTTACTTATTTTCAAAGTCAGATTAAAATAATTGATGAAAAGACAACAGTGATTGTACATCTATAATCTGTCAACATAATAAAAAGAAATTACACTCATCAGCAGCTTTATTGGGTTGCCTGTTCAATTGTTAACACACTGAATCTGTCACAGCAAGCAAGTGCCTTTAGGCACTCTAAAAGTGATGAATATGACTTGGTGAGGTTCAAAGTGAGCAAGCAATGGAAGGAAAGGGGATTTAAATGACTTTCAATGTGGCATGGTTGCTGGTGCCAGACAGGGTGCTTAGAGTAAACTGCTGATCTTACTGTACTGTAGTTTTAATACATATCTATCATTCAGGTTTACAAAGGATTGTCCTAAAACGTTTACATTGTTAATGGTTTTTTGCAACACAATGTTTTTTCGTGTGGTCATCAGAGATCATTGGAGAATAAGCACAATGGTTTTAGCAGATACAGAGGCAATGGAAGCTCAAACCAAAAGTAAAAACAAGATATGCAGAAAAAAGTATCTCAACAACCACAAATGGAGCCTCAAAGTACGCTGGCTGCAGCAACAGGAGACCACACAAGTATCCAATCATTTCAACCAAGAACATTAAAATGAGGCTACAGTTTACACATCCTCACCAAAATTTGAAAATGGCAAATTTGAAAAATGTTGCTTTATATGACGACTCTGTTGATTTCATCAATAGTTAAGGCCCCTCAGGATACAAGCTTAGGATTGTAAATGCCAGTCTAATTGATCATTGCTGCTGATTACATATATGAGTATGTACAGTATATCACAGTGGCGCAGGATGCAAGAGTTTCTCCTGCAACTGGAAAGTTGACAGTTTGAACCCCAGCTCTGATGTTTCACGGTTGTTTTTTGAGCAGAACACTTCACCCTACTGTGTACTGCAGCTTCACTCCTGTGGAAAGGCCATTACACCTATCATCATCAGTGTGCCTGAAATGGTGTAGTGTAAAGCAATTTGGGGTCCAAAGGGAACCTATCATCCAATTGCTACTTCTTACAAGACAAAGCTTTATATCAATCAGACATGATTTTCGTTTCACTGTGCGCTAATGGCCTCAACCGTGATCAGATATCTGTATCATTAAGAACCTTTAGAATCCAGGAAATTGGAATATGGACCAAAATCTATGAGAAATATTTTGACAGCTATGCTGAAAAGAATTAGGAAGGTTCTAAAGTTTAAAGGTAGATAATGACTAGTTGGTCTAATGAGGAGGTCAGTGTGAGTAAAATGTTACACATTTGTTGATCTACTTTACTGAGTTTATGTATATTTACATAAGTTGTTAGAAAAAAAACACTACTAACAAGTGCATTTATGGTTGAAAAACCCTTTTACTAATGCTGTATACAAAATGTAAAATGCTGGCTGTGGTCATATAATCTCCTAATATATAGATTTAATTAGGTCAATTAGTAAATTACTAATACTACTGGTAACATGGAGCTGTGAGAGTAAAAAAAAGTACAGGGATTAGAAGACATATTCACCCTCTCTACAGATAGCTTTCAAATTTAAAATGTCTTATTTTAGCCATGGATTGTTACTATATACAAGTTATTTCTGGCGTTTTTTTCCCATTTTATTATCAATAGATTTGCCTTGCTGTACCATATATTATCAAGACTCTACTGATATTTCACCAGGCTGCATGTCTTCACTTGAACCAAAAATTAAAATCAGTTTTTGTACCCCTTGATGCCTGCTTTTTAAAGGTTTGCAAAGAAAGAGGAAGAAAATGTAATTGGAACCATGCCACTTCCCAGCAAGGAACCTCTGCAACCTTATCTTTAATTAAGTCCTACTAGCCTCAGTATATTTCACCCACAGCGACACAGCAATGTGTTTAATTGAACAAGTCCACAAACTGTCTTACTTCTCATTTTACATATCTAAGGGTGTCACTGAGGAAGAACACCTTGAACAAAATTAATCTGTGTTCTTCAGGTCATGTTGGCTGAAATTCCCTGTAAACAAAATGTTGCAATTTACTTTTCATGTTAATAATGTTTGAGAATGTCTGCGTGTCAGTGTTAGATGACCTACAGCCAAGAAGTGAAAGAAGAAAAAAAAAAGCATCTACTTCTCTAAAAATCATCAAAAAATTAGCTAAAGGAAAAGTGGTGAAAATAAAGTCTGACTGGAAAGGGATTCTAATGAAAACTGCAGCACTTTTCCACATAGAAGAAACATCTTTGTATAAAAAAATCTTTCAGAAGGTGTAGGGTGTTTCATCTGACAAGTGTACTGACCGTGCACTGTGAGTGTTGCAGATGCTTCAGACTTCCCAACCATATTTTCTGCCATACAAGTATAGGAGCCCTCATCTGAAGAGGCAACTTGGCGAACAACCAGAGTGTGGTCCTCCAGGATTTCAAATCTGTTGGTATGAAGACTTAAGACATTTGACAAAAAGCTGAAACACCATGTTTGCATTGTAATTTACAGTAGAGTGCCTTTGTAAGTTACCTGCCCTTAGGGAGGTCAGAATCATCTTTCCTCCAGCGGACGGTGGGGACAGGGTCTCCTTGAACAATGCAGTGAAACTCCACACTCTCATCCGCCAACAGAACCACATTGCTGGGACGTTTAACGAAGGTTGGTCGCTCTAAGGGTAGAACAAAATGGAGATACAGCTATTGCTTTAATAACAACCTTGGCAGGATGTTTGTTTTGGGGTGAAGATGGTCAACAAATTATATACTAAACAAGAAAAAGGGCTCACCAAAAAGGGTGGAAATTCAGCCCACTGAGACAGAAATGCAATAGAAAAAAAACCTGTATAGAAACACTAAATGTCTGCTTTATTAGATCTGTTAGAATACCCATTTACACAATTAGCAAATCCGTCAGTAACATTAAAGTAATTCATACATCCATCCAGACATCTAGATGTGGTCCAGATAAAAGTTCTAACCAAGTGTTAAAATGTGGTGGAATGGGAACTTTCAACATGGCAAAAATGACTTCTCTGTTTAAATTCTCATTCACATCCAAGACTCCTCAAGAGAACAGTCGGAAGAAGATAAAAATGCAACTTGAGTTTGGAAATTGGAGCGTTACTGGAAGAATTATGAGTACAACTAATGTGTGCTCATTTAATTAGTGGATATTTTCATTTATACCTATTCTATGTGCAATTGTTATGATGAAAAAGGCTAAATATTTACTGTAATTTCAACTGTGTTATTGCAGTATTTCAATTGGTTTTGGTATGTTCTATATTCTTTATAAGTAATTAGTTGCAGTTCTAGGCCATTCCTTTTCTGTTCTGTCATTAGTCAAGTCTCCTGAGCTCCTTAGTCTTGCTCCCCACTCAGCCGCTATTATTCCATTCATTGTACTCACTTCGTTTTCATGTCACTAATCACACCTCCACAGTTCTTATGCTCCCTAATGTCTTGGCTTATTACTGGATTCTAATATTTCACCCTTGCCTTTGTCTGTTGTTAGTACCTTGTTTTTCATTGTCAAACCCCCTCCAACATCCACTGTGCATTTTGTATTGTCCCGTTTCTAACTGGGCCATCAAAAGAAAGTCGTGACAGTATTGTAAAAATTAACAATCTCTTTTTATTCGATCAAGTCTCTAAGGTGCTAAAGCAAGAAAATTAGGCAAAATTTAACAAAGGCTTACTACAATTGCACTGCAAAACATCGGAATAACAGGTCAAATTAGTTTAGACATCAAAACATCGGTGAACTAAATACAGTAGAAGCAAGGATTCATCCTGTCATTAATAAACTGTCCCCAGGGACGCTGCTTGTGAACATAGTGTGAAATATATTTTCTTGGCACACTTTGAGCCCCTCTTTGGCAGCTGAGCATTGTTAAGTATCACAGCCCACCTGGTTATTTTTGCTGACTATTTGAATCCCCTAATACCTACATTTCTATTCAGTACTTATCGCAGGATAACAAAACAGTTGTTGAAAAAGTTACTTAAGCAGGTTTTAGAGAAACACAAAATATTAATTGTCACTGATGGCATGCATAATCACTACATCATGTTCCAATTGGGCTCTTTGGTGGGGCTTCTACCATTCTCCTACATAAACCCACAGCAATGTCACAGCTTGTTCACAAATTTTCCTTGCTTATTACTTATTCAGTTACTCTACAGTCTTCTAGTTTTACCACTATATGTTGTAAATTGAACTTCCCTCATAAAGCTTTAGTTTAAACAAGCAACATTCCCCTGTAAGTATAAACAGGATGTACTATTCATCAGATGATCGCAAATCTTATAAATAGAATTTCAACTCTTCACAAAAAATGCAGCAGCATAGCAGACACTAAATGTCTAGTTTATTCATATTGGCTCATAAAGCTCTAGAATCAGGTATTTAAATGAGCAAAATTTAAATTCAAATTCATGAATTGGATCAGAATAAATAAATAAACTTGAAAATGAAACTATATGTGTTGTTGAAAGAAAAAAGTCTGTTAAATGAGATGAACTAATATTAAAGTTATTCTACAAAGCACTATATCCACAGGGAAGCTTGGTAAAAATGTTCAAGCCTTGTCGTTCTTTAGAGGTGAAAACCTCACCAAAATGTACTTTGCCTCAATCAAGCTGAGTTGGCTCTTCATTATTTAAAGACATGCTGCAGCCCCTTGGTTTGGATCGATACAGAGCAGAATCCACTGATAATGAGCTTAAAATACACTTATAGCTTTCAAGTACTTGAAGACCAAGGAACAAAGACTGCTGATTGTCAGACAATGACTATAACTAATTAATAGAATATGTTTTTCCTTCAATCTCTTATATTTTTACTTTATAGAAATATTAATAATAAAAAAACAGCAAATCATCAAGATTTCAACACTTGAGGGATCTATTCATTTTACATGCAGGCTTACACAAAACATCCTCCTTATATGCCATGAAAAGCTAAATGTAATCAAGCTCAATAAACTAATTGTAAGTAATAGAAAACAAACCTTTATTGTTAATCAGTGGGGAAATTCAAGTCACTTTTATTTTTTAAAAATAGCAAAGGAAAGGCCATTCAAAGGAACACCAGCCTATTCATATGTCTGTATATTTATGTATACAGTATATGTGCTTACATCAGGTATATGCTCTCATGCATCTGTTTGGCAAGACTACATTTACCATAGAGAGCACTGCAGTACTATACTCACTACAGTGTTACATCTGCAGCCCTAAACCAAGGTCATCTAACAATTTAGGGCTGATAAGAGCTCTTCTGAGAGGGAAAGTGTTAGTAAAATATGGGGTAGAGAGACTGAGAATGGCGGGTCTATTCAGGAATTAGAGCATGCAGAGGGTGTCAGAAGCAGAGCTCCATGGGGAGCTCTTAGTCTGATAGGTTGTAACATTGGATAAGCTGGAACCAGACGTTCAGCACTTGTCTTGTGGGTAGACCTCTCCAAAACTGCCAGACTGAGATGGCGAAGTGTCGTAATCAGCATAATTAATGGGTTATTACTATACCCCAGTGACAACAGTTTCATATAATGTGGCCTGGCAAATCAAACCATGGGAGCTGTGAGGGGAATCGGACTAAGTGAAGCAGTTAAAACACGCTATCATGGAATAACAAAGGGATAAATATTACCTAGCACTGTGAGTACTGCAATTTCACTCTCCCTCTCCCCCACCATGTTAGTGGCAACACAAATGTATTTTCCCACGTCGCTTTTCCTGGTGTTGGTGATCATAAGCTTGCCACTCCGGATCTACAAGAGAGAAGCAGAAAACAATGTTTGCACAGTTGTATTTGCGTATAATCTAAGCGTGCACCGTGTTTGTGGATGCAGCATGTTTATAATGCCGGTAATAATCAGGTCTGCAAATTAAATTTTATGCTAAAATCTGCGGCAGTTCAAATCCATGCCATCTCATTGTGATGCCATGTTTACTTTAATGTAAGATGGTACCTGCATACAGACTCATCTTCGCCCATCTTCCCTTTGAAAAATAACTTTTTAAGCATTGATAGCATGACAGCATGAAGAAAATCTGCACTGCCTTTCAAGCCCCACGGAAGGTCACCTATTATAAAATTACATAATTCATACCCAGCACTGCACAAGAACCCTGGGAACAAAGATGGGGCCTCTTTGTAGAGATGTTTCTTAGATGTTCTGTCAGCCTGCTTTGCCTTTCCCAAACTTTTTACCCTTTCTTTGTGCATATCAGTGCACACACACACACAATCCTTTTCCTTTCACACAAAAAGAGGCTGAAGATATGTGCACTCTGCCATGTGGTTTTCAGTTATTTTCAATACACTCCCACTGATGTCTTTATGGTGTTTTGAAATAAGAGCTGCTGCACTGATAGCCGGCATCTAGCCAGTGTTAGAGGTGATATGACAGGAGCATTGAGTATATACTGGAGATTGGAAACACGCTGATCTTAAGACCTCAAAACAAAGGTGTGATCCAGTTTTCCATCTAGTCTTCTAAAACCTTCTCAAAGAAGTCAGCTTTAATTCAACTTCATGTAAGGTTATGATGCTTTTAAGACTGACTCTTTTCCACCTGCATTCAGTTTTGGAATCAAACTATTTATATCTGCCTGCTAGAAATGCACACAGAATATAGCAGCTTTGCCATTGGTTTGCAAGACAGCAGGGAGGCCGATGCAGTCTATAGGGTTAGATCCAAAAAGCATGCAATATATACAAGGCAGCACCTGGACCTGGTTGCTTTGAATCCACCACCTAGTAGAGAGAATAGACCATTAAATTGGTGCTGCAGGGATGAAACCAGTAGCCTCTATTATCATTCTTCTCTACATTTATAAAACTTTAACAAATATGTTGTTAATGCCCTCTACTGAAGCATTTCTTCAAAAAATACATACAATTTATGTTTCTAGATTGGCAGACAATCTCTAAACGCTTTCCAGTTGTGATAGATGGTTCTATAAATCATTGATTCTGGACAACTAAATATACATGCTATGCCATGGTGACTCCTGCTTTCTGAAACAGGGGAGGCTCAGTGGTGTTAATTAAATCCAAACGTAACGTATCGCATTAACATATGTTGAAACACATAAAACCCATCACTACCACTGGTGAAAATTACCATTTCGAAGAGTTTTAAAATAATGAACTCCAGAAACCATGGAAAGAGTTTAGCACAAGATCACTGTTCTGACTGAATGACCACTTTTCCCTCTCGAATTGTGAGGAAAACCTCCTCGCTGTCCGGCCACTGTCAGTCAAAATCCTTAATCATGTTTGCGAATCAGCATCGAGCAGCAAGGCTCAAACGTCAACAGGGATTTCTAATAGAGGCTGACCGGCAGCCTCTTGCTGCTCGATAGTGGAGGGGAGATCATGTCCGAGAGCGGGCTCAACAGCTCATTACTGTTCATCATACTCATGAAATAAGGCGTATTTTAGCACATACTTAATGCAGCTAAAAGACTACATTTATTATGTTTGACAAAGCAGATTAAACCAATAATTTAACTAAATTTACAGGGGAGGTTTAGCCTGCCTACACTGAGAAATAGCCACTGATGCCATGGAAAATATTTCAGACTTTCATCTCAGAAAAAATATTGAATGTATTATTTTAATTTCCGTACAGTTTCAAGTCTCTGATTTCAAAAGCATATGATCAAATTTAATAGCATTGCCAATTAAAGGTGTCCGAGGAACCAGTATTGCTGTCCATGCTTACTGAAGTAACTTGTGTTTTGCAAGGTTTCCGTTTTATGTGGCTGCATTTGATCAATGTTGAGTTTCCTCCAAACTTTTTCATTTCTTGAATCATAATAAATCTAATTTGCTTATCTGTATAGCACAAATAAAAAAAAGCACCTTGTTTTTGTGCAGCCTTTTATACTGCTAAGGATTTAATTTGGCTCATAAAAAGTAATTATGCCGGATGCTGATTGATGTTTGTTGTAATTGTGAATCATCTTTAGGAAGCTGTTGTGCTATTTTTTGTAAAAACTAAAAGAATAAATTCATAAAACCCATAGGATTTTGTGTCAAAATTCTAAACACTGCTGTAAACCATAACCCTATATTCAAAATCCCGATATTAACCAAAATCCCAGGATTACATTGGAAGCCCTCCATGAATGTTGCATGCTGCACTTTGGTTTCCATGCAGTTCGAAATGTCTTTGAGTGAGCACTACTTGCAAAGACCAATTTCCAAACAGAAAAAGATGATTATGGAGGACAGAGACAGGCACGTGGAGAGTACAAAGCCAAAGGCAGCCTTTGTATATCCCTCTGTGAAGCCTCCCCCCACCTGCTCTGATCTAGTCCTCTTCTTAAATCAGAGGTAGCTGCTCTGTCCATCACAGTTCCCCAGAGTGCCTCTAACTGTCACTCCGCACTAACACGAGCTTTGAGTCTTTTCCTGCTTGTCCCTAGGAGCATTTCTATTCGTATAAACAAATCAAAGGCAAGCCTGTGCACGGAGTCAGACAGATGCTGAAATAAATCATATGCTCTTATATGATATGAAATGAATAAAAAGCAGGTTGTTGCTTGCTGTAGGTAATGCCAAACTTTTGGGAGGTTTTTGTGTATTTCGCTGGGTGTGGTTATTTTTCTAGATATTAAAGATTTTATTAAGTACATTTTTTTCTTTATAGGGCTCCAGTAACATGATTGCATATTGTGTGATGACATCGGTCTTCCCTTAAGCTGTAAGGTTATAAGAAACAATTTTTAATCTAAAAAATTAAAAAAATTACCACCATAGTTATAACTTAAATTAAACGGAGTTCTACTGTAGATTATACAAAAAAAAAACATTCTTTTTTTAGTTTAAACATATACATTAATAGTGTGATCATATCAAGATTCAAAGGTTATTTGAAGTATTTACTTTTAGAAGTAATAATCGATTAGGAAATAACAAACATTTAATGGGCCCTGAGGATTATGAACAACCACCATGCTTGACAGTTATTTCAGGGTTTTCAGGTCAAAACCTCAGCCAGAAATCTCCAAAGAATTCTTCAAGGACTGTACTAAACTTTGGGAAATTATTTACAAAAGGATAGGCTACAGTAAGTAATGGGAATACTTTCATCAAGTAATGTCAAGAGGCAACCTAAACCCCTAAACCAGCCATGTTCAGAGGATCATGTCACAATTATGGGTTGAGTAAAGTATATTACTGTGATGCGTTCATCTCTGTCATCCAAGTTGGCGCCATCTCTCCTCCAAGAGATTGTGGGCTCTGGGTGTCCACGGGGAGGCTGGCACTCGAGCACTGCAGGTTCGCCAACAGCAACCATGACATCAACAGGGTTCTGTCTAAAATCATCCCGTAAGACTAGGAAAAAACACAGACAAATAGCATTTTAAACAAAGTATAAATAATTCAGGGATTATATAGAATGGGTATTATAGAAAAGCACTATATAATTAAGTTTTTTGTCAGATCACATGAAATGTTTTGTTATATTTTTGAATTGTAACATCAGTCAAGCTATATACCCTCTTTATGGTTGCAGCACAAAAAATGTAACAGGCATAAAACTATAGCATCAATTTTCTTAGGACTTTACCCACGTAAATAACTTTGTACTCTGCTGATAGAAAAAAAAATTCCATTTAATTGCAGCTTGATTATTTATCGCTAGCTTAATCTATTCAATGAAAACACTGCAGAAACACATGTTCACACATTTTACTAATTAAAAGTTAATTAAAATTGTTCCATTCATGCATGCCTTGAATTTCTTCCTCATTGGTCACAGACCAATCATGCCTTTCCTCACTAACTCAGAATTCTTTGTATATGTAATACCTGCTGATTCCAGTTTATAATTTTTGTGCTTATTCAAAGGATTTTAACATATGAAAACATGTCCAGCCATTTTAATTTCAACAGGAAATAAAGGCATTACAAATTCTTCCAATTTACACCTCAAAACATTTATTCCATTTATTATTATTATTATTATTATTTCTTTATTCACTGAAAATATATTCTGTAATTTTATAGTTTGAGAATAGTGGGTTTAAAATGAAAAATTCTGGTATTTTACCTACATATAAATATATATAAATCTAAGTTCTTCAAAATGAAAAATGTTGACGCTAATTTTCTGGAGAGTTTACTGGTGCATCCTTACCCCGTTATTTAGAGTTTGGACACTTTTGATACAGTTTTTTCTTTACAAAAGTATAACAGGATGCACTGGAATATAGCTCATGAGAATAATGGGATTCGGACGCTTCCCACTGCAGGCGACTACCACAGCAATTCATCATCTTTCCTCAATGAGTAGCCTGTGTGCTGAGAAAGCATCCAGTGCTGCAACGGAGATGAGGCGAGCTTCCTTCCTTTCCAAAAGCATGTTATTTTCAGTGGTTACAGGCTGCTCTCATCTTCACCATAAACAGGCACATCAAGGCCTTCACTGTGTGGATTCAAGCCCTGCTCATCTTAAGGAGCGCCAGGTTAGAACGTCATAATTTAATGCAGGGACCATCATTTTCAAACTCTACAGCAGGATTGGAGACACACAGAAAGCTGGGGGTATGGAAACACCTTTTTTTTTCAGTTTTGAGTGGGAAGATTTCTTCCTCTGATGAGGTGAACAACATGCTAAAATGTAGACGCCTGTGCATGAGTGACTGGTGCTAAACATTCCCAGTTTTGAATTACAAAGCATGGAGGGGGGGCTTTTATTGTGAGCGAGCTAAAGGGGAGCCAAGAAAGAACAAGCAGAACTGCAGAACCTAGTCAAGTTGAGCTAGGGTGAAAAGACAGGAAACAATGGGGAAAACGCATAATCACTCCCAGATGGTGGCAACCCATTCACCTCTGGCTACAAATTTCAACATAACACGGGGTAGGGATGCATGACGGGTATTGCAGCAATGGGAGAACAACTTAGGCTGACCTTCTAATTGGAATTATAGAATTAAAGCTTCTCAGTCTTACAACGGCCTTCTAACACACTGAAACTCGCTGGACTATCTGTTTGTGTTTGACTGAAAGGCAATGGGAAACAGCTGCTAAACGACCCCCCCTCAACAGCCCCACCTCACCACTGCCAACGCTGCAGTGTTACATGATAAAAGACCCTCCTCGTGGGACCCGGAAACAAGGCTGAAGTTACCTCAGACAGGAAGAAACCGAGACCATCACAATTTTGTGTACAGTGCATATGTGTGTGTTGATTGATTGACTGATACCATCGCATAATTCCAAAAGCAATCAAGTTACACATCTGCTTTTACTATTGTGTGAGGCCCGAATGTTTCTGTCGAATGTGAAAGCTTGGATTAGTTCCTAAGGCTGTTAAAGATCTTTTTTTTTTTTTGACGATAGTGCAACACTTAGTGTAAGAAGAGAAGAAAGAAGAGGAACGATTAAAGGCAGTGAGACCTTTGGCCGATTAGTGAGGAATGTTCTTGTGAGTGTGGTCTGGTGGTTCGACGTCATACTAATGTTTTCTAAGCACATTAGATGTACTGTATTAGTGGAAATGTTTATATCCTAGGGATGGAAAAAGCATTTGCTTAATAGGAAATTCTCTGATTTCCAAAAACTAAACTACGCTAAGCCTTTGCATATGCTGTTTCAAAGTACTGCCTTTGGGTTTACAGGTCCAACTCTACAAATTTTACCCACTTTCTGACTTCATATTCTTCTGTGTTTTTATTTAGCATTTCTAGGAAATAAATCTTATGATTTATTTTATACTTTCATGCAAAAGAGTTTAAAATGTGAAGACTATTCCACTCAATTCTATTTTTTTATTTCCTTATACCCTAAATCTCCATCTCAAATCTTTTTTACATCCGGTCTTTTCTTAAATTTATATGAATTTTTAAAATCTGCTTGTACTTGATAAGTAACACTTATACAAAGCCAGCCTAGCTTGTCTGTTTAGCTGAATCTTTGCCCCTCTTGCTGTCTTCTTTTCTCACTCCATCTCATCCCCCCTCCACAGATGAGAATCTCAAAGCCTACTTCAAAGCTTCCGCCTCTGGCCTCACCAATCTGAATCTGATGTGTCTGACTTGCTGTTAGTCTTCTGCAGCTCAAGCCCCAGCTTTAAAAAGGTCTACTGCAGCCAAGCACCCAGTAATCCTTTCTGCAGTGTCCAGCAGGTCCAAAAAGAAACACAATTATACCCCACAGACAAGGAGTCTAGTGGAGCACTAGCAGTTTCTTCTCTCACACCATCAATATAGCAGACAGGCAAGGGAATAAGTGTCCACTCTGTTCACTCCCTGCAGAAACTTGTTTATCTTGACAGCCTTAATTTACCCAAGGTTTTAAAGCCTTGTTCACCTTTCAAAAATATGTTATAGTTGAATCATCTGCACATGGTTTGGTCCCGTATATAATCCCCCTCTTTTCCAACTCTAGATTAGCATTACTCTAATGTAATGGGAATGTTGAAAGTTGCTGTTAAATATACCAGAATCAAGACCCAGCTGTGCAGGCTTTTATCCACTCCACAGTATAGCATCAACATACAATAAAAGGCAGGCTTTATCTTCTCTCATGCTTTCCTCTTTGAAACAAAGAGAAGAGAACTTGCTATGAATTTCAAAATATTAGAATGAAAAACAACAATAGTAACTCTCTGTTTTAGTACAATTAACAAAACAATGGCTTTTACTGATGTCAACAACACATTTAGCAATATAAAGTTACAGATTAATGTTATAGTCTTTGAAATTATGTTTGAACAAAAGAAGCATCGCTGTTTCTGTTCTTTATAAGAAAACATTTTGTTTGTAAAAACCAGGGGAGCCTGAATTAGATTAAAGAATTGCACCCTAACATACTTTATAATAGAACAAGCTTTTAGTGGATAGTTAAACTTGAAGGGAAGTTCTAAGTACATTAGGCCCATTTTCTTTATAGGCAAGATTATAACAGGTCAGGCTCTAATATCTATCAGTATTTGTGCGTTTACTGATATGTTTCATATAAAAAAAATAATGAAAAAGATGTTTGCTTGAAAATTAAACAGGATCATGGAAGACAAGAATATTAAAAGGTTCCCCCATAATTCAGGAATTTCATTTTGATGATTCAACATTAACTTTTCCAACAACTGGTCCACTGATAAACCATTTTTCATTCCAGACATGATGGTAGTTTCATCCCTTATTGTTCTGTTGTGTTAATAGTAATGACATAGAAAGCTTAAAGTGGATGTTTGTTCAACTTTAAGTTTGTAACTTAGGTAGTTATGGTGAATCTGAGGATTCCATGTTGGAAACAAAGCTAGCACGATGCAGAAGTTGCCTTGGCAAGATGAAATGAATCATTTGAAGCATTATGCAAAGCTGGAAAGGCAGAAGAATACATTAAAACTAAACAGCCCCCTCAAATCACCATGCCTGGTGTGCAACAAGGTAGTGGCTTCATCGTGCTGGGAGGATATTTTTATTTATCAGGGACACGGAAGCTGCTCGGTTGAGAGGTTAAACTTTATGCAGAACAAAATCCATGAAGACAGAACTGCAATAAAATATTTAAGACCAAAGCCTATTCCTGTTTGAGAATGGTCCAGTGATTACCTGGTCAACAATATAAATTAGAATCTCTGTCAAGATTTTAGATTCAATGTTTTAGAAAAAACCTTCATACAGTTTGTCTGACCTTGAGCTTTTTTACTGGTACTGGTACTGGTAAAATCTGTCTTATATATGGAAACTGAGTCGAGATGTATCTCATAAGACTTACATTCATAACTGCAATATATGTTGTTTTTCAAGTTGCTTACTCAGGGTGCTAAATTCAAAGGGATATGGGATTTACTTAATGGGCTTGAAAACGTAAAAGCAGATACTGGCACTGTCATTGGGTACAAATGTAAAATCATCATGTACAATAAATATTCACACAGATAAAAGAACACCATTGCTGAATTTATTTTAAATGTTTAATAAAATAAATTTGTTTAAACAAAACTCCAAATGCTCTCTGGAGCTGCCATGCCAAGCCAACTGTATTTGTAAAGCACTTACAAAAAACATGCACTCATCGAAAGGCTGAACAAAAACAATGATTAGAATAAATGAATAAAACATTAGATCTTAAAATACATTAAATAATTAACAGAAAGCAAAATCCATGTAAAAGCAGCAATAGGAGCATCTACCCCAGCAGAAAGAAAACAGATGTCTAAATAACAGTTTATATATTTTTTAAAAGCCAGAGAGAAGAGAATTACATGAAGAAAATGGAAGTAAAGTAATTTGCAAAAAGTCCCTGAATTTCTGCCCGTAGAGGAGCACAGATCCAGTAGATCCGAAAGGTAAGACTAAAAAAAACAAATGTAATTCTAGAATAGA